TGAAAAACCGGGGAGCAGCTCGCCGGCTATGCCATCTTTGAATGTTACATAGCATGTCTCTGACAGCAGATAAGTACAAGATGTACACAAGCGGACAATACATTCACCTAAATACTCTACCAACATTACCGTATGGACTTGAGAATGAACCCCTCGAGCCCACCGCACACCCACAGCTCCTGCACGCTTGCGCCCACCGTGCGGACTTTGTAGGTCTTTTCTCCATCAGAGCCACGCAGAGTCACATTCCCGTCCGTCATCGAAACACGTATTTCATGCCCTTTATCCACTGTGAGTTCGCCTTCACGTCCACCCGCACCGCGTGCGCCTCCTTTGGCATACGTCGCAGTGAGGTCAGCGACGAGCTCGGGACATTCAAGGCAGACAAGACCATTATTGATGGCATTACGTTTGAATATGTCGCCGAATGAGCCTGCAATGACAAGCGGTACACCAGCTGCCTTAAGCGCGGTAGCAGCCTGTTCACGAGAGGACCCGGTACCGAAGTTGTACCCCGATACCAAGACCACACCAGACTTGGTGCTTTCATCTGATGCGGAGAGCGAAGGGAGAATGGTAGCGACATTGCCTGCGAAAGACGTGTCGTAGTTCTCCATGACTACTTGTGCTTGGCGTTCGAGGGTAATGTCATCTTGGTAGGTGTATTTTCCAGGGTATAGTGCGTCCGTGCTCAGGTTGTCCTGTGGTGCGAAGAGCAGGCGACCAGAAAAGGCTGCGGGGAAGCCGGGGAAGAGGGGTTCTTCTGCTTGTGGTACCTCTGCCGCGTCTGAGGAGCCAGAGGCGATGGAGAAGACGGGTGCGCCTGCAGGAGGAAGCGAGGTTGCATCAAGAGAGTTGGGGGAGCAGATAAATCCCTTGACGGCGCTCGCAGCAACTACTGCAGGACTGGCAAGGTATGCCTGAGCCTTAGGGTGGCCCATTCGTCCCTTATAGTTCCTGTTCGTGGCGCTGATGCCCGTCTCACCCTCTTCCAACAACCCGGTGCCGAGCCCGATGCAAGGCCCACAACCTGCTGGGAGCACTTTGGCACCTGCAGCAATCAACTTGTTCCAGTGCCCCAACTTCTCCGCCTCCGCCTGTACCACAGAGCTCGCAGCTGCGACATAGAACTCGACGCCCTCTGCAACTTTCTTGCCCTCAACAACAGACGCAGCTGCAGCAATATCAGAGACCCGAGAATTGGTACATGAAACCAGGTATGCTTTCTGGATTGCAATTTGCTGGGATTCTAACTTGGGAAGTGGGGTAGAGACCTTGACGCTGTTAGGACCGGAAACATGTGGGACGAGAGTAGAGAGGTCGAAGATCAGATGCGAGGAGTATTGGGCACCGAGATCGGACGTAAGATTAGTTGCACGGAGGGCATCAAGATTGCGGCGATTGATACGTGGGTGTTCTGGCGGGGACGGTATTGATTTAGAGGCGAAAGTCCTTTGCTCTAATTTCGTCAATGCACTCTCGTACCAACTCAAAAGTGTGTCGTCGACAGGGAAAACGCCTACAAGTGCGCCCCATTCCGTTGTCATATTCGAAATCGTAAGTCTGTCGTCAATCGAAAGCGCAGAGACACCCTCCCCAGTAAACTCGATTGCAGCGTTAAGGACCTCGTCGTTGTTGAATGACCCGCAAAGCGCGACAATCACATCCTTGCCGGTGACACCTGGGGCTAGTTTTCCCCGAAATTCCACCTTGACCATACGAGGGACTTGCCACCAAGTCTTTCCTGTAGCCCACAAAGCTGCTGCATCTGTGCGCACGATGGCTGTACCCACGCAAGCAACGCCTCCATACATATTTGAGTGCGAATCAGAAGCAACAGTGAGGGTATGCGGGAATGCGTAGCCTTCTTCTACGAGGACTTGGTGCCCGATGCCGCGGCCAGCAGGATAGAAGTCAATCCCATGTGTGCGTGCAAATGCTTCAATGTTGGCATACTTGGCAAGGTTTTTGTCAGATTTATTCTGGACGTCGTGATCAAGGGTGAACACCGCCTGCCGGGAATTAAAAATTTTCTTTGCACCTATGGACTTGAATCTACATGCGTGTCATATGAATAATGATTTGAGAGGGAAGAAAAGAAGCACACTTGGATATGACAGGGCCCGTGTTGTCATGGGTCATGACATGCTCCGGGCGAATCATGACATAGTCGCCTGCTTTGACGACTTTGCCATCGGGGAGACTAACTGAGTATTTTTGGACAACTTTTTCAATGATAGTCTGGGGAATTCGGGGAGTGGCCACGCTGGTAGCGAAGAACCGCGCTGCTTGCAGGCACCCCCGACCGGGTATGCGCGGTGAAAGGCGCATCACAAGTATTTGGTGTAAGAAACCTGCAGCAAGTAGTCAAGACTCAAGATGTAAGTGTAAGAGAAACAGCTGAGACCACTTTGTTAGGGTTGTGTCAAGGAACCGAATACGACTGATAAGCCTAATAATATGATTCCATTCACATGGTCACAACAACTCGGAGGATACATTATCCATACACTGTGTAATTTACAAAAGGATATATCAACAGGCAAGGACTACGCGCTGGCGACTCCGACAGTGACAGCTGTAGCCACCGCAATAGGTGCGGCCGGGGATTTCAGCACTTTCTCCATAATCGCGTCCTTTGGAGGAGTGGATGACTCAGGTGAGTTAGAAACATGGTTCGTCTTCATCTTCTTCTTTTTCTTCATGAGACCTGCAAATTGAAATGTCAGCACAAATACTACGTAGTGGACGCGGTATACTGACCTGCAGACACTGCAGATTTGACATTGTCGACGATTTCCCTACTTTCCTCGAGGTATTCTGTATCATCGAACCGATGCTTCTTGCCAGCAACAGCCTCCGTATCCCCTGATGCAGCTGCAATCTTCTTCTCGAGTGTCTCTAGCTTGGCTTTTTTGGCCTCAGCCTGGGCCTTCTTCCGTTCATCTTCATTTCCCATGTAGTCTGCAAGCCTAAAGCAATGTGATTAATACATCACATCCTGCACCAACTAAACATACGTGCCTTTTCGCAGTTTTGATGGTACTAAGTCTGCGTCCACTAAGATCTCTGCATGAGTCGTTGTTACTGGTCTTCTGACTACTCATGCGACCACCGGCAGCACGCAACTGCGAACCAAAACCTCCCTTACCACCTCGGAGTCGGGGAATAAGTTTTAACGTAATGAGAGTCGCATCTTGTCCATGAATCTCAGAGATGAGGGTGTCCGGTGTAGGGACAGATCCAGCATGAGATGAAATTCTCAAGTCCTCTGAAGCAGGGAGATCGGAATAGCGGTCGCACAAAAGAGAATACAGTTCATCGAATCGGGTTTCTGGAGAAACAGAGAGCGAAAGAGTCGGGAATGGAGCAAACGCTGAGAAAAGAACTGTAGTGGTCATGGTAGTAGACAGTATGCAATTATGTAACCCTGCGGGTCAGGTCCAAACCTGTATGATTATGTAACCCTGTGTGTCAGCCCGTCGGCGTCAATCACCCCTGTCAACATCTTTCGCCGCAACACCCACAATCACGACAACTTGAATTAATTGCGCAGCCTGATACTCTCCAATCGACATGGATTTTTGGCGCGTGCTTATGCATGAGGCGCCTATGTTTGTCTGGCCCGTCAAATTCTGTGTGGCCATGACTGCTACCACATACGTGCTCTCCATCCTCACCAACAACGTGTCGCAGGTGGATAGAGTCTGGACGTTTCTCCCAACCATATATACTATATACTATGCTTTGCTGCCGTTTTGGTCATCCGTTCCACCTACCTACCTCTTTCCCTACACCCCTGACACAATCCCCGCATCTCTGAGGGAGACCTTCAGTCCACGAGCCTTGCTCATGGCAAGTTTGGTGGCAAGTATCTCATCTGCTCAATTTCTTACAGTCTACTTAACTATCTTCAGGTGACGTGGATGTTCAGGTTTGTAACATGTCCCCGTCATATTCACTTGTGAATCTCACCCTCCGTAGGTTAAGTTACAACACTTGGCGACGTGGTCTATTTAGCCTGTAAGCTCATTCTTCATTGATGATACAATTATAAATCAAGGTCGACAGCAAGGATGAAGATTATCGCTGGGAAGTTTTGAGACAGAAGATCTCCCCTTTCCTCTTCCAAGTTTTCAACCTCTTGTTTATCGGTGCGGCTACAATTATCTATCGGTCTCTAAACATCTACTAACTCAGCATAAGCAATCGCGCAGAATATAATCTTATTTCTCTTGGGCCTTCCAGCCGCCCGCGCAGTGGCTCAACCACACACACCCCTTTCGACTTCGGATTATATTTTCGGAACGCTAGGATTTCTCATCATCCTCACCGAGTTCATTTCAGACAACCAGCAATACTCTTTCCAAACATTTAAACATTCCGGGAAGCTGAGCCCAAATGAATGGCCTGGTGCGAGAATTCAATGGACCAAGCATGATGCTGAACGCGGATTTGTGACCCGCGGTTTATGGGCTTGGTCACGGCACCCAAATTTCCTGTGCGAACAGAGTTTCTGGGTATGCATACTTCCATTTCGCAATCCCGTTAAGCACATCACTAACCCCCCATACCAGATCATAATCACACTCATCCCTCTCCTCTCGCCTGATTCACCGAAGCTCGACTTTCCGCCGACTTCGTTCGCATCACTCACACCCTTCCTTCCATGTTTAGTTCTCTGCAGTTTGTTCTTCTCTTCCACGATTTTTACCGAGTCGATATCGAAGGCAAAGTACCCTGTTGCCTATTCAGCTTACCAAGAGCGTGTGGCAATGTTTTTGCCTTTGCTCACCCCCGTATGGGGTGCGCTTCTGGAAATTCAGGGGAGAAAAGGGAATGTCGATTCGCTGGTCTACGGTACCGGACTGAACTCCAAGGGCAAGGGGAAGGCCGAATGAGATGATATTTGCACGTGTTCGAAAATTTTTCTCCATTTCTGTTGTATTTCCGTATATAGCGAAACACTGATCGCATTGGCATAAAACTGTCTCTGAGACATTATCGCTACTACCCGCTGAGCTAACACCAAGCCGCGTGACTGCATGAATGCACGCACGGACCGGTATTATTAGCCCGAGCCTGGTTGTTCTTCTCACTGACAAAGTCATGTATGCATACGGGCTCCGGATATCGGCCAGGGCGGAAATCCGCACCCCGCTGCAAGCTACAGTTAGACCAACCACCTTCATCCCCAACTTCATACACCAACCCTTCCAATGTCATCGTTAAAGGTCGCAGTGATTACAGGGGCATCCTCTGGTGTGTATCGATTGCGCTTTGCACTTGTGCGTAAACTTACTTCCGGTTTCAGGTATCGGACGCCATTCGGCTATCAAGCTCTCTTCTGAGGGTTGGAGCCTGGCACTGACTGCTCGAAGGCTGGCTCAACTCGAAGAGACAAGATCCCTCTGTGCAAATCCCGATGCGTGTATTCTCGTTGCTGGTGACATCACAGACGAAGCTTTTGTAAAAAGCTTGTTCGAGGAGACCATGAAGAAATTCGGTAGACTTGATCTGTTGTTTAACGTGAGTGGTGTGCCCCTTCTTCTGCGGTTTTCGGTACATTTTAGTCGTGCATTGATGATGTAACAGAATGCGGGCTTGTCTGACAAGGCGAGGCCCATCGAGGAGATGCCGCTTGAGATGTTCACATCGGTCGTTAATGTCAACCTTGTTGCTTCCTTCCTTTGCGCTCGCGAAGCTTTCAAGATTTACAAGCAACAAGAACCCACTGGAGGTTCGTGAAGCTGGATGATGAGAAACCGCAGTGTATTGATCTACATTGTCCCTATGCAGGGAGAATCATCAACAATGGCTCATTGGCTGCCCATGTGCCAAGGCCTCATTCCGTTGCATACGCGACCTCCAAACACGCCGTGCACGGTTTAACTAAGACCATCGCAATCGAGGGGCGAAAGTACAACATCTCTGTGACGCAGATTGACATTGGTGCGTACTTTGATAATATTGGAGGAGGTTGATGCGACGGTGGTCTTGCCAGGAAATGCGCACACGTCGATGGCTGCAGGGCACACTTTAGGAGCATTGCAGCCTGATGGTCGGAGAGTCGTTGAACCGACTTTCGATCCGGTACACGTTGCGGATGCGGTTGCGCACATTGCAAGTCTCCCTACGTCTGTCACGGTACTGGAGATGAATATCATGTAAGTGTGCGACCGTTTTTCTTGGGTTCTGGATACTAACCTGTTACGTAGGGCGACTGGTGCTCCTTATGTCGGAAGAGGATGACCATCGATACTTAAAGTGTCGGCGAAGACAGCAGGACGCAGGACAGTTGTCTGAGCATAATGACATTGTTGCAGATTTCACATGTACCACGTCCCACGCCGCCTGGCAATACATTAATGCATGTAGAACAAGAATTATCTACTATGGAAGTGATACAGATATCATATGTAAGTTGAGACAGCGCGGTGGTCAACATCTTGAGTTTGATTGATTTTGAAGTCCTCCTGGACCGTTGAGCTATGCATATAGTTGTATCTGCTTGCGCATCTCCTGTCCATTTTCGCACATTTGTGGCATAGCCGATAAGAGAGAGGGTATCATTCTTCAAGTTGAAGTAGTCCTGGAGCTTCGCCAGAGGCCAGTCACTCCGCTCATACACAACCTCCTCGGTACCGGCAAAGTTGAGCGTCAGAGCTTATTCAGTCATAATGTGATTACTCATGCAAAGTTAGGGAACCTCGGACGAGTGAGAATGCTATAACATAAGTATCAATTCGCCCGCAAGTTGTAAGTAAGTGATAACAATGCTATGACCGTGGAAGCAATCGCTGGGATGCCTGTCTTTTCGTTCAAACGGATGAGCCGCCTGTCTCATGATCATTGGTCTAGGCCTTTACCACAGTAAAGGGATGATATCTCGCTCGTAAATCTCTGAAGTTTTTGCCTTCGGGGAAGACCTGTGCCATACTCTTCCAAACTCGTGTTCGCCCCTGGGCCTGAAGGCCAGAGTGATTTCCCCTTCGCCACAGGGCTCGTTGCGGTGGCCGTGCGGTTAGTGGTGATGTGATCAAAAATGTCATGGGCGTCACAATCCTGGGCGCTAAATCGAGGCGTAAGTACTCGCGCTTGTTTTTGTGACATTGATGGCGCGACGAAGGCTTGGATTAAAGACAACGGTACAATGATTCATGCTAAAGTCATCTTCCTTGCAGTAACCTACATCAATAAATCTGTGCATAAGTTCCGTTTGTGTATCTAAACGTACATAGCATCAACCAGTTACACCATAGTCGGGCGTACGAATCCCCCGTGATGATGCGAAGTTGCCAGGAGATTGGTATCTAGCGTACCGTAAGCTCAGTCAAATGTGACGCGACTCGCACGTCCCTCTGCGCATATAGGCAAAGGCTGCCAGAATCTCAATTTCTCTAAAAATAGTCTATATAAGTTCATGTACATTGTGCTCACATGAGCAGAGTCCTGAATGTCACGTCCACAGCGAGCACGATGAGATGTCGTCTTGGCATAATTACGTGGGTGCTATTCGGAGCGTGCGGTTCAACCACAAATGTGTAGTCTGCTTATTGGTGGTAATTCGATTGCTTAAGGGAGGTTCTGTATGACACAGGTAATTTTGAAGTGACATGCCCCTTGCAACTGCAGGGTTGTTGCACCGGGAGTACAACGGATCGGGACCTCGTCTTTGATGCGAAAAGGGATAAGGACGCAGCAAAAGCAGGTGAGGAATGTACCTCTGAGGTAATGAAAGGTCAAAAATCTTCAATAAGCGTGTTACGATCATCTTCCAGAATGTCGTGGAGATTTTGCGGTAATCGATAAGGTTGACGAGATGACGCGAACACGGTAAAAATGTGTACCATACGACTGACACCAGTGGACGCGGAACGGGGCAAAATGTCAGTACATCAAGGTCGCATTGTGGCTTGCGGGATAGCTCGCAATGAGCTGCGATGTAACATTGGAGGATATCTCAAATTTCAAAGCCGGAATATCGCAAGGCTGTGCGCTGATGCACGCGAACACCGATATGAGAAAATCCATTGAATCAGTGAACTCAGCGAGCAAGAAAAAAATCAAACAACGGACCTGGATGTGCTGCAAGCGGCAGTCGCTGATTCAAAGCCCGGATCCTAACTCGGAATTGCAGTTTACAGTTTACCCATGCTGACCTCGAAAAGGCCCATCAATGATAGCAGAGTCAGAAAACTTGCAAATTTGCAAGTGTACATACGAGATTTGAGAAGCCTCGCAACTATCCAACCTCCATGAGAAAACCAATACAGAGCTCCGAAAAAATTTGGTAACTTAGGGTTCCCCAAGTAATGGTACATTTGCTATGACCGCGCGGAAACATTTCAGGGCAACACCGTTCTTCATCTTGCCCTGGTAGAAGGCGCAACTTCATTCCCAACGAACATGAAACGTAAAAATGGGATTAGTGCGTCTTATTTTACTGGTCTGGGCCGATTTAAATTATGTAAAGCCAAAAGACTGGATTCTGGCGTGAACTCGACAATTCATTTGTCATCGCACTGCTGACTTTAAGTTGTCAAACACTTACCCAATCAAACGTTCAGCGGAGCCAGTGAGGAGACAATAAGCACTGCATTGATCAAGGGGCGTCTGCGATCGGTGCAGGAAAGCGGACGTTCTGCAGTTGCCCCGATTCGTGGGAAAGGTGCGGAAAGGGCACCATGGCGGCCTTGCAGGCTCAGGGGAAGGCATTTTTATTTCAATTTGTTCCGAGTCTTTGCTTGAGGGAGTGTTTGTTATATTGCATAGTGAGCCCGTTGCCATTGTCGTGCTTATTTGAAACACATACTACACGTCTGAATCAGGAGGAATGCTGTACGAAGATGATACAATCAAGAGTCTGACCGTAAATTTTATGTTAAGGCGAGGTACTCGCACTTGTTCGACGCGAGCCTGGTTGTAGTTAGCGGTCAGGAAACTCGGATCGAGAAGTGCTCCGAGTCGTGTCAAATTGTTTTCTCTCAGCATGATCATTGCTCTAGCAGCAAGCCAGATGGCACCGCTCGAAAAACGTTCGATCCTGCCGTCATGATAGAATCGCAGTTTACCCCTGACCGACCTCGAAAAGGCCCACCAATGATAGCAGAGTTAGAACAGTTAATCGCATAGAAATCTGCACATAACATACACACCTGCAGCGCAGATCTCGAATCTCCCGAAAAAAATTGCAAGGAGCCGAAGTTCACATGCCACAGGGCGGATGATTGTCTAGAGCGTTATTCAGAGAAGCATGTGATATTGCGTTCCTATGTACCTGGAATGTGGCAAGCAAGGTACCTGTAAGAATATGAGCTTCATGTATGTATTTAGCGTCTGGTGAAGCAGTATAAAACCTACAGTGAAATGTACAGTGTACACACCACTTCAGCTACATCCAGAATCATTCCACCAAGTTAACTCACCAGTTGTCAACACCAACAACCTCTAGTAAAATGGCACATCTCACTCCTATCGTCAACCCCACTTGGGTGTTCGAAGATCGCACACAGACGATCTACGCAGCCGCAGATATTCCCAATAGTGAGCTGATGGTGACCTCCTCCGAGGACAGGAAGGTCCGTCTCTGGGACTTGAAGACAGGTAAAGTGTTGAAGCAGTTGGGGGGGCACACCGGTGATGTGATGGGATTGGCGGTATCGAGAGACGGGGAATTGATAGCGACTGGTGACGAGAACGGCGAGCTCATCGCCTGGCAGGCAAAAACCGGGGAGTCTCTCACCAGAGTTTCCAAGGCCCACGGCAGTGCAGTCCGCTCCCTGGACTTTTCACCCGACAATGCATTCGTCGTTACCGCGTCGGCGGCACGCAACGACCAAACGATCAAGTTTTGGAACACCAAAACTTGGGAGCAAGCCGGATATTACGCATGCGGTGATACTGTCCGCTGTGTTAGGTATGCGCGGTCCGGCGTACATGCACTTGCAGTGGCAACAGATCAAGACATCCAAATTTACGCCGACGGCAAACTCCAAACGACGTTGAAGGGTCACAGTCACGGTACTTTGTCACTCGCCTGGTCTCCTGATGCCAAGCGCCTTCTTTCGGGAGGAGATGATCATGATCCCAGCATTAGGGAGTGGGAGACATCGAGCTGGACGCAGGTCGGTGAACCATGGACGGGCCACACGTACAAAATCAACTCCATCGCCGTTCATTCTGCTGGCACGCACGCAGTTTCCGCCTCTAGCGACAACTCTGTTCGTCTCTGGCAGCTCTCCGATAAACAAACCATTGCCATTTTCCAGCACAGTTCTTCTGTCATTTGCGCAGCCTTCTCCGCGTATGGTGCACACATCCTTAGTGGAGGTTATGATAAGAAAGTGTCGGTATGGACGGCACCCGCGGGCACTTTGCCAGTACTAGACACTCCCGACTTTTACTTGAAGGAAGTCGTGACAACGGTAATTTCTTGCTCATTAGTGAACATTCGCCATCTCATTCGCGTCTTTTGATCAAAAAGGCTCCAGTCACTGAATACAAGGTTCAAGAGTCTACTATTACTCTAGGAACCCCCGTTTCCAACTCTCACCTGCAGCATTCGTCTTTGACGACTGTCCAGCTGCAGTCAGTTTCGAATGCTGCACAGCCTATTACCACAGTCGAGCGGACGATTACCAAGGTCCAACAATCTGTTGCGAATGGACGGTCATCTGAATCTGTCCACACGGAACAATCTCAAATTTCCCATGCCGAACAGTCTCTTTTCAACTCCCAGCAATCTCTGTCCAGGGCAGCAACATCCGTCCGCACTGAACAATCTCAGATTTCCCATGCCGAACAGTCTCTGTCCAGGGCAGCAACATCTGTCACCAAGTCGGATCAGTCTGTTTTAAATGCCGGGCAGGTACGATTTCATCTTTTACTTGTATGGCGTCATTCAAAGCTTTTTCACGCAGACACTCGTAGTCACCGAATCAGTGACTACAAGTCCCCATTCCACTCTGCAGCCTGTTTTGACGGCCGCAAGTTCCGATTCCAAGTTACAGCAGTCAGTTTTGAGGACCACAAGCGCCGATTCCAAGTCTCTGCAGTCAGTTTTGACATCTGGAAGCTCCAATTCCCAGCTTCAGCGGTCAGTTTTGACCACCGCAAGCTCCGATTCCAAGTTTCAGCAGTCGGGTTCGACGAACGCAAGCTCTAATTTCAATCCTCGGCAATTGTCTTTGACCACTGTCCACTCGCAGTCTGTTTCGAAGGCAGAACAGCCTATCACCACGGTCGAGCAGACGATTACCAAGGTCCAACAGTCTGTTGCGAATGGGCGGTCATCTGAATCTGTCCACACGGAACAATCTCAAATTTCCCAAAGCTCCAATTCCAATTCTCAGCAACCGTCTTTGACCACTGTCCACTCACAGTCTGTTTTGAAGGCAGAACAGCCTATCGCCACGGTCGAGCAGACGATCACCAAGATTAAACAGTCTGTTGCGAATGGGCGGTCATCTGAATCTGTCCACACGGAACAATCTCAGATTTCCCATACCGAACAGTCTCTTTTCAACTCCCAGCAATCTCTGTCCGGGGCAGCAACATCTGTTACAAAGTTTGATCAATCTGTTTTAAATGCCGGGCAGGTATGATTCCGTCCTTTACTTGTATAGCGCTATTCAAAGCTTTTTCACGCAGACACTCGTAGTATCTAATCCGGTGACCGGAAGTCTCTATTCCAAGTCTCTGCAGCCTGTTTTGACCGCTGGAAGCTCCGATTCCAGGATTCAGCAGTCGGTTTCGACGACTGCAAGCTTGGATTCCAGGTCTCAGCAATCGTCTTTGACGACTGTCCACTCGCAGTCTGTTCTGGAGGCCGAGCAGCCTATCACCAAGTTCGAGCAGTCTGCCTTCAAGGCCGAGCAATACCTGTCCAAGGCAGAACAATATGCGTCCCAGTCAAAGGTTGAGCGGGTTGTTTTAAAGGTATGATTTCATTCTTTACTTGTACGGCATCACTCAAGCTTGTTCACACAACAGACGCTTGGAATCGCCACGGCTGAGCTCCTTGCTATCACCAAGACCATCCGGACTGCATCAATCAGAGGGGATTTGTCTACCGCTGAAAGGATCCTCACTCAAGAGATTGCCACCGACGCCAAGAACTTCGCCTCCTATGCCAATCGCTCTTTCATTCTGGCACGCAAACTCGACTGGGACAATGCGCTTCATGATGCGACCAAGGTAGCAACGACCCATCATGCACTAACTCAAAACCTGCTGACTTCGATGTTTTTGTAGTCCCTTGTCATAAGGACATCGTTGGCTGGCTATATCGCCAAGGGTATCGCTCTCTGCGGAAAGCAGCGCCTCGATGACGCAAGGACAGCCTTTGACTTGGCATTCACGTTTACACAGGGAAACATGGATGCTACTGTCTTTCTTTACTTGATCAAGGCACGTTTCTTTTTTTATCTTGCGTACTCCGCGCCTTACCATGTTTCAGGCTATTGCGCTCTTCAATGCTAATAGACACGAAGAGGCAATGCTGCGTGTGGACCAGCTGGCTGCTGATCCATCTGCCGATCCCATCGCTTGTGGTATCGTTGTGGTGAGTCACCTGGCAATCACACTTATGCTCATCCGCTGACTGGTGGGTCTGTACTTCGTGCATCAGGCGAGTCTGCGACTCCAACTAGGAATCATTGCCTTCAATGGCGCGCGTCATAATGAGGCGGTTGAGCACTTCAGTGCCGCTGTCGACGCTAGCGCTGTCTTGGCTAAATCCCTTGTTCCTACTGCCTTGGAGGCCTTCACTGTGGTGCGTTGAATATGACGTCACCGAAAACTCACCGATCCTCAACTGCGCGTTTTTGCAGCTCTTTGGATGGGACATCGCGGCGTTGTGGCCAACCTCCAACAAGAGACTGATCCGTGCGCTCCTGGGGGCTGGCAGGCTTGGAGAAGCTTTCGAATCGTACCGTTTCGCGATGGACGCGAGTGCTGATATTACGAAAATCAACTTACGTTCTTGGGCCTTGAGTGAGTCTTTCCAATGATGCTACCCATGCTACAGTGCTCAACCTTTTTTTCACTCAGCTCTCTCGTTGTGATCAATGGCGTAGTATGTCTTCCATGTGGGCTGTTACATATTTATATATCAAAACACGGGCCACTTCTACAGTTCTACTCTTGTGATTATGCACGCCTGTTACTTTTAATCGCTACGCTAACTTCCTATAGAATGCAGACCAATGATTATGCAATGCTTTTATGCCATCGACAGTGCGACTATTCGTTATAAGTCCTACGACAATCCGTGTTGACCTGTACCCTTCTTCAATCTATTTCAATCTCTGAACGCTTTGATCGAGAATCACTATTCTCGACTGAACAATCCTTTTAGACTTGCTGGTTGTTCAAAGGTCTATCACATGAGGACTGAGTTGTGTGTCCACCGTTGTCTCGTCCTCTCCATCCGACGTTACTCTCCGGAATACACGATACACTATCATCTCTTGGATTCCTCGCTGTATAGTTATTTACGCCAGGTACTCTCGCGATTTAGCCTCCACTTGCGTTCGCCTTTCAGAGACCCACCCATTTCCGGATGACGATATCAGTGGTAAGTATTAGCGGCCGAACGGAATAGACACCCACCGACTGTCGTGACCTTGTCGCCCCGAACCAGAATAGCACGACTCTTTGACAGAATGTGTCTACGATATATCATATTCAGAAACGCGAAAATCGAAAATCGATATGCTTAACGCCGCACCAAGCCTGAAATATCTCGAGCATCGGTCATAACATTTGTTCAAGAGTCACGTCCGTACATTGCCGTACATTGTGCTATGCTACATGGTGTGCACCGCTTTGGCGCTTTTGGTAACAAAATAGACAAGTAAGTCGAGTCAAAGCACCTCCGATCCAATCATAAGCTCATCTATTCAGGCTTGTAATCGGGACGCAGTGACCGCACAACCTTGCCTGCACGCCAAATCTCCTGGTCGTCGATCTCCTTCAGCTCTTTGGCAAGATCTTGGCGGTACGTCGAGCGGCCGTTGAATTCAAGAGACTTGCGGGTCTCTGTGCCGTTCCGCACGCTCTCGTACAACTGCTCAAAGATGGGCGTGTTGGTCTTCTCAAAGATGGGTGCCCAATCGAGCGCACCGCGGCGAGCGGTTGTGGAGCAGGCGTTGTACATGTAGTCCATGCTACAAATCATGAGGGAATGATACGCGACGACAAACATACACTTACCCCTTCTGTCCAATCAGAGGGTACAGCGATTGAGTGGCCTCCTCGACGGTTTCATTGAAGGCTTCCGAAGGGGAGTGGCCGTTGGCACGGAGCACCTTGTACTGCGCGCAGAACAGACCCTCTGATAGATGATCAGCTAATAATAACTTGTGGTGTGTGAACACTTACGGATAGCACCCATGAGCACACCACGTTCACCATAGAGATCGGAATAAACCTCCTTCTCGAAGGTAGTCTCATACATGTACCCTGACCCGACAGCAACACCAATAGCAACGGCCTTCTCCATGGCGTTACCAGTGACGTCCTGGAAGACGGCTACACTGGAGTTGATTCCACGACCCTCTTTGAAGAGGGTGCGCACGGTACGGCCAGATCCTTTGGGTGCAACTAATATAACATCAACGTCCTTAGGGGGTATAACCTTTGTGTCTTCCTTGTATACAACAGAGAAACCGTGCGAGAAGTAGAGGGTCTTGCCCTTGGTGATCAGAGGTGCAATGGTAGGCCACGTCTGTGATTGTGCAGCATCAGAGAGAAGGTTCATGATAATCGTCCCCTGGTTGATAGCTTCCTCGATAGGGAAAAGCGTTTCTCCAGGAACCTAATGATACATCGATGTGTTATGAGATGCCTGCAGGCCTGACACGTCGACATAAACAACATACCCAACCATCCTCTATAGCCTGCCGCCAGCTTTCGCCGTCTTTACGGACACCAACGATAACATTGAGGCCATTGTCACGAGCGTTCAAGCCTTGACCGTGGCCTTGAGAACCATAGCCGATAAGAGCGAGGGTATCATTCTTGAAGTAGTCCTGGAGCTTCGCCAGAGGCCAGTCACTCCGCTCGTATACAACCTCCTCGGTACCAGCAAAGTTGAGCGTCTTTACGCCTCGAGCAGCCTACAATACTTGGGCGTCAGAGCTTATTCAGTCATAATATGAATAAAAATTCACCTGCGGAGTGGGTCTGCGCGAGCTGCCTGTCAAGGCTTGGCGAGTAAGCAACGAGTAGGACGCAATCTGTGCAGGCTTCGCTGCGATTTTTGTGCCGGCACGGGGTGCACGGCGAGTAGCAGCGCGAAGGGCTGAGGCTGAACGAGACGCGATGGAGGCCATTTTGACTGGAGAGAAGATGGAAAGGTACAATAACTTTTTATGATCAAAATTTATAGTTCTAAGAACTTACCGAGTCATATCAGCCAGCTATCACGTACACGCTGCCAGTCGTGTATCGTAAGTCTGGGCCACCATAACTGCTTCAAGCCTGTACATAATTTCAGATCAGGCACTATTGTGGCATGCCACATATACATCACCATAATCAAGACTATACGGTAGATCTGGCTAGCTATATAGGGGAGAGTGATGTATCAACTTAAAGCTACGAACGCTGTACACTGGACACAAGCCTCCACAACCGATCCTCCAACGCCTCGATAGTCGCACGTGGAGTATTCAAGCTACTCATGAAATACGCCACGTTGCCCAGCGTCCTATAATGCACCCCAAAAGGTGCACCTCCAGGAGCTGCGGACGTAGATCCATCATCCAGTGGCAATCGCAAGCTCTGGAGGAGAGTCTGAGCGGAATGCGATGCATAACCTGCACCACCAAGTCACATAAGCAATCTAAACAATAAAATGTAATAGGATCGACATTACCTGCATCATCATCCTTGAACTTGATAGCAAGCACGGTTCCCAATGCCATCGCTTCATCAACAATATCCAGACAAGATATCGAAGTGATGAACTCCGGATCCCAGAAACTCCACACTTTCGTCGCCAACGCTCCTTCAGGCGTCCATTTGCTAATTGCCCCCACCCACAGATCACTCTCCACCAACCTACCAACCAAATCAAGTGTCGCATTCGCAACCTGACATCCAACAGCATGTGCCGTATAACTATGTCCATGCAACAACGCGTCCACTTTGCTTTCACTCTTGAATGCCGAAAAGATACGGTCGGACGCGAGCGTTACTGCCAAAGGCAACACGCCGCCGGTGAGAATCTTGGCATTTACTGAGATGTCGGGGTTGACACCGAGTAGAGGGCCTGCGCTTTCGAATCCTAGGCGGTATAGCCCCATAAAGACTTCGTCGAATATGACTGGGAGAAGTGTAGGAAATAGGGCGGGGTCGCGGACGACGTCGACCATGATCCGTTGGAATAATGGATCCACGAATATCATTCCTCCTGCGCCCATCACGATGGGTTCGATGATTAGAGCTGCGAGTTTTCGGGTGTCGTCTGCCTGGAGGCTACGCATGTGTTTATTTAGGTATTGCCTGTAGTGTTTTGCTAGCGGAGATTCGAGACGCTGCTCGACGTCATAAACATGAGAGAGTGTTTCAAATCTTTCGATTGTCCGCTGATCACTGGTGAGAGACGACAGAGCAGGTGGAAGGGAAACAGTGACTTGGCCTTGCCGAATGGATACAGTCGGTGGGTCAAACCAATAACCCTTCGCTTCATGCCATTCGCAAGTATAGACCCCCTCCTCGCAAGCATCCATAGCCCCGATCGTATCTCCATGATAACTCCCCTTTAGTCCAACAACCCTCAAATTCTTCTTCTCCGGCGAACTCAACTCGAGTCCAGAGCTGACTATGAATGATCGTAAAGCCATTTTAAGCGCAACCTCCATCCCGGTAGATCCGTTATCTGAGAAAAATACACGAGAAGCCCAGCCTTTGCCCGGTCCTTGAAGGAGACGTTCAGCAAGCTTTAGAGCAGGAATATGAGTCGCCTGCGGGAACATGATATGGCCATAACGTCCTGCCGCATTTGCAGCAGCAAGTGCCAGCGTCGGATGAGCATGTCCGACAGCTTGCGTCCACCATGAAGCGGACCCGTCCAGTTGAGGTTGCAATAGCGATTTTGGTTGCGAAGGTGAAGTTTTCCCGGAAGAAGCATCATAAATGCTAAAGAAATCTGACCACGCGCTGTCGATGACCGAAACTTCCTTCTCGGTCTTGACCAACCCGTGTTGTACGAACGGCCACCAGATCGCGTCGAGCGTACGACGGGGCATTGAGTCTAGTTCTTCGATGCGTCTAACGTGACACTGGTCTAGATGTTCCAGTGCAGTGAAAATATCGCCTTTAAGGGTGTCTGGGACAAGATCCGAGTAGTATTTCTCTGTATTCGCAACGTTCTCTATAGAGTCGAGACGTGGGGGAGGAGGGTCAAGAGCAGTGACATGCGTCCCTCGTTCTGCAAAATACTGCGTTAGGTATTCATAATTCCTGTAGTATTCGTCCCGGAATAAGATGATCGCATCTATGATGTATCCACGGAGGAGGAGGGACTCGAATGATGAGATAGTTGATGATATGCCGCCGAGTCTGGAGTCTCCAATTAGTATGGTGGGGAGGAAGAGGGGGCGGTAGGTGTCTAGTTGGGTTGTTCCGGAGAGCGTTGGGCTGTGGACGCCTGAGCAAATCGGTTAGCAGGAAGTATCATAACTTGAAGAGACGCGTTGAAGTAGGGCTCACCTCCAGCAGTCTCCACATACATATGACCCGGCCCGCTCGCAACCCTAGCCCGCTTTCTGATATGCTCCGCAACAGACCTAACAAACGTTTCATCCGAAGGTACAGAAACCTTCAAGTTGTCCCAAGCCCCAAGATCAGCTCATCACAAGACACATCAACAACCACGCACTTTGAGTCCACCTTGAGTCTCAGAAGCCATCTTAACAGCAAGATGCGGACTAACGGGGTCTCCATAGCGGAACAAGCAATGAGCGTCCACTAGATGCTTTTGGGGCCCCGCATGGCGTTTTATATGTCTAGCACATGAAGAACAATATTCAGCGACGCGTTCTACGCCATGAAAAACACGTACTCATCATCCGCATCCTGCGGTGCACCAGTACTCACCGGCTTAAGATAAAAAACGCGGTTGCTGTTGAGCGCCGAAGCCCGAATGAGAGCAGTAGTGATGATAGTCTTTCCAACGTCTGTGTTTGCTCCGAATACTTGGTGGATTCGAAGGTGCTTGTAGAGATGGCTCATTTCATGGCAATTGCGATCCCAACGTTAGTGGAGAATCTGGAGATCGAACACAATCTCGGTTTGCCAAGGGCTTTTTCGGTTGCAATGATTACCTGGTCAAGTGTCGGAGTTTTAGTTGAGATCGCTGTGGTTGAACGTATTAAGCGAATCAGAAATACTGTACAGCACCCCCGACAAGACCACGAACATTCCGCGACGTTCATCATGATGTGAAGTCGTACACTGCTAGTACCAGGGCAGAGGTACCTGGACACACTCTCAGAGACTCAGACCCACGTCGGGCGCTAAGCAACAGGCTTTGCCACGTAGTAAGCTGAGATATTTCCCGTAAATGACGCTGACAAAAGTGACAACTAGCAGATCACCGAGTGTGTCGTGTGGTACGCTTATAAGGTGGTCGACCGTCATATATCATACTCACAATTCTCAATGCGAACTTCATTCACGGGGGCCCTGGCTGCATCATGGACTTTCCCGGCTCTTTCGGGCCTAGGACTGGGCTTTACGCTTACACACCTCCTACAAATCTCTTGCGTTAGGAAGTCTCGACTGAGAGACTGCGATGATAACTGATTAGTGTCCTGTAAATTTGGTCCGAGGCCAAATCATCCCGCGAGGTAGCGTGAGTTATATCACGTTGCAACGCACGGGATGAGCACTAGTCTCTCGTAGCCAAACCTTACATAAATAAAAGGATACAGTCGATCTAAGGATAGGTGCTATGTTTCAGATTCGTGACCAGCCCGTCTAATGAGGCAAGCCACCAGTCTAGCTATGTTTATCAAGTGAGTCTCTGTGCTTCTTGAAGAATTTTTTGAATGTATTTTTGTCAGTCATCAAAAAGCTTTATACTCTATAATCATAAAGCGTCAGATGACATCGCATCGGCTGCCGGCTACTGATTTCACAGCTACATTTCCCTTGGTCAATGGACTCAGAGCACGCAGTTTTTTTTTATCTCTGATAACACTGCGGCACAGCAATCCCCTAAAAATGACTCCCCAAGTGAGATTGGAGATGGAGACACAATTATCTCCATACTTACCTAGGTCCCAAGCTTTCAGCGTTGCCGCTTCGAAAGGACCACATCTGCTCGCTTCATTTGCAGCCTATCTGATAGCATCTGATCTGGTTATATGATACGGCCTCCGAAGGGATTATATTGAGCGCAAGATCAACGTTATGACGATTGCTCTAGTACAGTCATGGAATGTCATGTGGGGCCAGCCCGGGGACGGTCCTGTATAGCATACAAGACTCTCCTTCGTCGATGAATCGACATACATCATAGACCATAGACTAGTATAAGTACAGGGTACATGCAACCAATTCTCTCTCCAATCTTCAATCTCTCTACAAGTCTTCACAATCACGATGAACAGCCTGTCCACATCCACCCTCGATAGCAAAGTACGTGCTCGTGTTTTAATACCCTTCCATGCCCTGATTTTGATGAATATAGGTTCTAGCAAGCACCCGACAGTCCATCGCCGAATTTCTTCAGCGTTGCGGTTTGCAATATAAGAATTTCCCGCTTGACGAGACGTGGTACTCCGAATGCTCTCAGGAGGCCACCAAACGAGGCTATCCGATGGACGCCATTTTCCCATACATGAATATTGGCGTGGCTATAACGTCTAATGCTTACGGCCACCTCCCGGACCGTCCAACCAAGATGTGGATCTGCCTCTTCACCACCGTATGCACCTGCATGGACGACACGATGACCAGTGGAAAAGATCTAGTGCATGTGTACCGTTTCAACGAACGGTTCGCGAATTGTCAGCCGCACGAGCATCCAGTTATGCATGCGCTTGATGGACTCATACGGGAGGTTGCTTGGCATTATCCTGCACCGGTGTCAAACTTTATCGTGACGTCCGCGCTCGACTTCGTGTCTTCCCTTTTACTTGACCATGAGACCAAAGATATGCGGGTATGGTATTTCCTCAATAAAGCCAGCTTCGATCTTTAACTCTTTGTGTGAATAGATCTCGCCGCAGGCTCCCTCATACCCTGATTATGCTAGGATATTATCAGGCATACCGTATGCGTACGCATACTGCATTTTTCCTTCCACACTCCCGCTTCAGGAATACGTTCAATGCATAATGGATGTAGCTATGGTGATAAACTACACAAAGTAACTACTTGCATTGATGATTTTCTGTTAACCTTTCTAACCTGCCATGATTCAGTGATATATTGTCATTCTACAAAGAGGAGATCGAAGGCGACTCTGCAAACTACCTGTCGCTCATGGCAGCCTCTCGTGGTCTTAACAAACAGGACGCTCTCCAGAAACTCGTCGAGAAAACTGTACAACTACATCACGGTATCCTCGAACTCCTGAAACCACGTCCTGAGGCATATGACGCCTATGTCGCATTTTTCAATGGGTATTTCAAATTCCACACCCAAGGAAGGTATAAACTGCAGGAGATCATGTAGAAGAGGTCGTCTTCTTGATGGATACCTTTCTTATGGTGTTTCTCAACTTTTCCTCTGTGTTGATTACATCTTGAAGTAGAGTACTAGCTATTACGTTTGTACCCTGTCTCTAGGTCTACCAGGCGCCATTTATTAGATTGCCTGTCCCTTTGGCTTTTCTTACTCCTTCCAATTCAATCAAGCAGTTTTATGAGAATTTTTCCCAATGTACTTACCTCTAGATTAACTTTTCAGTGTATGTAAAGCTCGAGGACTACAACTCAAAGGGGAAGATCGTAAAAGGCACTATATATATAAGGTCCGGTTGATCAACATAATTTTACGCGCTCGCACGTGAAGATCACGATACTGGGACAACCACTTGACCCACAACAGAATTTTGGCCTTTCGCAAGCGTGCAACTCCTCGATGAAACGTAGTGGGGTCTAATGCAGTCTGGCGACCTGACTGACTGCAGTGTAGTTCGTCACGGTGTTACCGATATTCTCCGAGCAGCTTCCGAGCGTCTGCGCGGAGATGAGGGGTAGTGTAGGGTCTACCGCGTAAAAGATCAACCCATCCAAACTCCGTCTTTAATATTCGGGTGAAGTGATGCAAGATTCTGATGTACACATGCCATCTGTCAACAATCCGGAAAGATCCTGATGTTTTATTCCTGGCTGTCAACGTTCTTGACGGAGTGGTAGTCGTAATGACCATGATACCGTGACATGCTTTAGGGGGTGGATGAGCATGGGGCCAGAGGAACTCATTCTCTCCGGTGCTGGATTGACTATGCGCAAGATACCCTGCTAGGTGAATACCCTGCACTGTGTCTCGCAGTCTGGATTACAGACGATTGCGTGAACTTTGATGAACTCACGAGCATACCACCCTCCTTATCGATACGAATCAAATTCAGTTGCGTGAGCAGAGTTCCAAAAATAACAAAGCCAAGTAAGTCTATTTATCAGCAGTACTAGTCTACTCACTAATTCATGCTAATTCCTTGGTTCTCGTCTAGATAACACCGACGGTTAGCCTCTCTGTCTCTATTGTTCAGCATTAATCTTGTAATATCACATCGATGCTGATACGGAAGACATGATTCATAACCGGGACCGCAAAATCTTGATGCATAATATGGCACTGCCCCGCATCCTCCACCAATTAGGAAAGCCCACTCAATTGCCCTCCATCAACAACTACGCCTGTACTAGTAAGGAACAGACGGTCACGTTTGCTTTCCCAGTAAGTTCAAATCAATCCTATTTTTATAATTATCGCGGAACTTTCTTCGAGATGCCGCCTGAAAATGACTACTTATTCATGCACGATATCTCGTTTCAATAATCACCACAATCATACAAATCATGGTCGCTTCATATCATGTCAATTACCCTCCCCTCGATGGATCTCTGTCCTTCCCTCAATTGGTTGAATTCAATGCGCAACATAACTCGGACGTCCCTTTCTTTGTCTACGACAAACCTGACAGCAACGACCTGGTCTCTATCTCTCACTCAGACTTCTATCGAGCTTGTCATCGGGCTGCCCAGGCAATTAGAACAGCCTTCGCAGGCGCACATAAAGAAGTGGTCGCCCTCATCGTGAACTCCGACACCCTTCTTTACCAGACAGTATTCATGGGTATCATCTTCGCTGGGCTAGTTGTATGTACATAGATTTTCTGAATAATCGGGTTTCTGATTACCGCTATTTCAAGCCATTCCCCATGTCCCCTCGTAATTCGGTCCCAGCAGTCACGAGTATGATGCAGAAGACAGGGTGCCGTCGCTTAATCACGACTCAGGCATTCTCTCGCTTCCCTCATCGACGGGGTCGAAGCGGATCTTATGTCTGCCACTCAAACGAGCCAGCTACAGATTGACGAGATTTCCGGCGCTGGAATACCTCTACCCCTCATTCGTTAGTGGTACTCCCAATGAGGCTATTGTCCCGTACTCTTCCCTAGGTTCGCCGTCCTCTTGGAACGATGTATTATTCTACCTGCACTCCTCTGGCAGCACTGGCTTCCCTAAACCTATTCCACTAACTAACTTGACTGCCATCCACTGGTGCATGACGCGTGAGTCAGCAAAATAGTCTGCATATCGAACAACGCTAAGATGGAGTGCCGTTAGCATCTATTTCCGACCTCATCAACTTTCCCACTCCTATTCGCATCTGTGCTGCGTCCTTACCATCGTTCCATACCCTTGGTATATATTTTCAGCTGGTCACCCCTATCGCCACCTTGAGCAGTGTGTCTATTTACCCGCCTACATCCTTCCTCGATCCCTTGGCGACGCCTGTAGTACCCAACTCGCAAAATATCCTGGACTCTATACTCAAGACCAAATCAAATGCTTTGATAGTCGTGCCTGCCTTTCTGGAACAATGGGCGTCTTCGCCGAGTGCTGTCGATGTTCTGAAGAACCTCGAATACGCTGTAAGTTTGTTGTTGAGGGCTGTAACAAGGAATGACTCGTACTGATACCAATGCAGGCCTATGGTGGCGGTCCTCTCGCGCCTAAGATGGGAAATGCTCTGGCGGATGCAGGGGTCAAGCTTACTTGTGGCTACGGCGCTACAGAATTTGGTGTCATCACTCATTCCATCCGAGATTCGGTCGATCAAAAGTTTTGGGACTGGTTGCGATTTGGACCAAATTCCAAGATCAGATGGGCTCCACAGGACGATGGCACATATGAATGTCAAGTTTTGGTGCGTCTCCAAGTTGATCTTTGAACGCATGTTGAATGCCTTTTCGCAGACAACCCCGACGCATCAAGTATCAGTAGAGAATCTTCCAGACGTCAAGGGTTATGCTACTTCAGATGTATTTATCAAGCACCCGACCGTAGAGGGTTTGTGGAAGATGTACGACTGAAATTTGCGTTATTTATGTTCTCTGACATATTCTTTGCAGTGTAGGAAGGATCGACGACGTTTTGGTACTCTCGTCCGGGGAGAAGACAGTACCGGCTCCCATGGAAAGCATTGTCTGTGCTAACCCCTACGTAACCGCCGCCGTCATCTTTGGCCGTGGACGCAATCAAGTTGGGATCCTCATAGAGCCACAATCAGGGTCTGAAATTGATGTTGATGATGAAGAGCAACTTGCTGAGTTTAGGAACCGAGTGTGGTAAGTCCCCAAAAATTGCATGCTACTGTTGAGTCTGAAGATGTCCTTGAAGGCCGGACATAGAGGAAGCGAATAAGGAGGCTCCTGCCTTCAGCAGGATCTTCAAAGAAATGATTCTTGTGGCACACAGTAAGAAGCCCATGCCTCGAGCTGCAAAAGGGACCGTCAACAAGAAAGTAGCCGTCAAGTTGTATGAGGAGGAGATTAATGCCCTGTGAGCATAGTATCTATTCGTTACTCTGTCAACTAGACTTCATGGGTGACAGATATGAAAAGGTGGAGAGCAGCGCTAGAGCAGGTATTGATGTACCTTTGCCTACAAGCTGGACTGCGGAAGAGGTCGAGGGATGGCTCAAGGTCCACGCTGCCGCTGTGAACGCCGACAAGGAAGTTGATCCTGATGCGGACCTTTTTACTCAGGGCTTTGACAGGTGGGTCGAAACTAACAAAGGCTAGTGCTATGCTTACTTTTTATATCTAGTCTCTCTGCGACATTTCTCAAAAACCGCATTATCGGCTCTCTCAGTTCGTCTTCAGATCGTGACCTTCAGGCATCAGCATCGCGGATTGACCAGAACATCATATTTTCAAGTCCTTCGATTCGCCAGCTCGCGAGAAGCGTCATTAATGCAGTATTGCAGCAGGATGGTGCAACCGTCGACGCCAAGACTGATATCGAGAACATGATCGAGAGGTATTCAGTCGGATTAGGGAACTCTGTCACAGAGGCCAACACCACTCTAGTCAATGGGCGTAGCCAAAGCAATCATGGGGTTGTCCTGACCGGGTCTACGGGTGGACTTGGCTCATACCTGCTTGCAGATCTACTCCAGCGCGAGGACGTGTCTGTGGTATATGCGTTTAATCGCCCGTCAAAGGGGACATCTATACAACAACGACAGGAAGATGCGTTCGAAGATCGCGGTTTAGATTTTTCCGTGCTTCAGTCAGACAAACTGGTGTATGTAGAAACTGATACATCCCATGACAACCTAGGTCTGGATGAAGAGTTATATCAGAAGGTTAGCGTCATTTCCAGTGTCATCGAATTAACTAAAGATAGCGTAGATCCGCACGTCTGTTACTGTCATCATTCACAACGCTTGGCGACTCGATTTTAATCTGGCGCTCTCTTCATTCGATTCTCACGTGAGGGGAATGAGGAATCTTATAGACCTGGCACTATCTTCTCCCCGTCGTCCAAAGCCGCGTTTCATGTTCGCATCTTCCATCTCATCTGCTCAAAGTTGGGATCAAGCGAAGGGACCATTCCCAGAAGAGGTAGAATACGACGCAGGGGTCGCAGTGGGCCTTGGCTATGGCGCGAGCAAATACGTTTCGGAAAGGGTAAGTCACAGGCTACTTCGGGGGCATGAATTATATGAACACCGTTTCCATTAAGATTCTCGTCAATAGCAAGTTACCGGCATCATCGTTCAGAATTGGACAAGTATCAGGAGGACCCCCGCGAGGAGCTTGGTCCACGACAAACTGGGTACCGATCTTCATTAAATCAAGTATAAGTCTAGGCGCACTTCCGGAAGCTCAAGGAGTAAGTGCATTACTATTGAGGGTATCCATTCGTGACACGCGCGTTTTAGTTTGTGTCTTGGATCCCTCCCCACGCCATATCAAATGCCATTCTTGATGTAGCTTTCGCGGAAGAAGAACCTTCCATCGCGGTGAATCTGGTGCATCCGAAACCGACTGCATGGAAGGCGTTGATACAGCCTATTGCGGATGCCTTGGTTGAGCATAAAGTAACAAGTCACCCGCTACCTCTTGTGCCATTCTCAGAGTGGTTCGAAAGGCTTGAATCGAGTGCCAAGGACGCGAGCGAAGAGACCATGAAACGCATCGTACGTGTATCTCAATAGCTGGCCAGAACGTTTTTAATCTAATCTTCAATTACAGCCTGCTATCAAGCTTCTCAACTTTATGCGTGCCATGGCTCATTCAGACACCGCGATCAGGGCGTCTGGAAAGATGGACTCCGAAGCGGGTGGCTTGACTTTATTCGCCACCGCTGTAGCCGAACGCGTCAGTCCAACGATGAAGGAACTGAAGCCGCTGTCTTCGGCAGACGCGGCACAGTGGTTGGATTATTGGATGGCAATGGGGATGTTTGAATGAACATATGAGTAAGCAGCAGTTATCCATCGTCCCCTCTTGTCTTTAACAACATAGACGATCAGAACTCGGGAGATTGTACTTGTAGTTGGAGTTTTTGAATTGTTTTGGAGAAATGCCGATGGAATGCGACTTGGGAACCTTTCTGGTTCCACCTGTTTGATCAGCTAGCTGTTTAAATTCTTTGTATTTTGTACAATATGTCTCCTGAATATCGACAACCCCGATGTGTTAGTACAATGCGAGCTTTTGAGGTCACCAAGCTAGGTGACTCGAGTACTCATTCTCGTCAGGCGCGGAGTAGCTGATGAAGACTTGTGGAAAAATGGGCTAGAATTCAGTCATAATTAATGTTGCCTTTGTACTTGACTTTGTGAGCGCTCTTGTGCAGTTGTCTAAGTAGTAAGAAGGCATCCGCGTGAGTATAAGCGCAGGCATCTGTGTCGCTGCGGGCATCCGCGTCAGTGCCACTGTGCGGGCATCCACGTCCACGAAAGTGCGGGAATCTATATGCGCACGGCAGCAGGTGTTGGCAATGTGGTACTCTTGCTCGCCATTGGCAGAAAGTGTCATGACGACTAGGTGGATGTTTCTCGAGTGCTCTCTGCTCACGACCGGCTTCCCCGCCGGACTTGTCTTTATTGCATGCGGATGCATATAAGGACCTAAGCCACTAGGGCTCACCGGTGTAACGGGTAGGACTGCAAGGGGAGGCCAAACCTCTATAGCGGGAGGCTACGGCTCTGTCTATCGAGGACAGACTACGACATGCACGAGGACTACCGACTACGATCCAGGACTCCTGCCACCGCGCCAGGACCTCTGCCACTCCCGTCGTGTCCTGCCAGAGCGCCCCGCTCCACCGGAGTCTATAGCAGAAAAGAAAATCTGAAATCACGCGACCCGAGACACCCGCCTAATGATATCCAGCACCACCGCACTCAAACGTCAGGCCCTCCCAACCCTAACTATTATTATGAATGATACACCCGACCACGAAACATTTCGTCTGCGTATCTGGCAGGAAAACCTCAATAAGTCGTCTACCGCTCAACACTGTATACTAAGTGGCCCTTTTACAGCGAAAGAATACGACATTGTAACCATACAGGAACCCCACATCAACTTCCTCGGCAACACAAGAGCAACTCCGGACTGGAACGTAGTCTACCCAACGCACAAATATACACACAAGGACCGATCGCGAGCAGTCACCCTTGTCCACAAACGACTCAACACCAACAACTGGCGCCAACTACCCTTCCCCTCAGCAGACGTGGTCGTGATTCAACTCAACGGCACATTCGGCAAACTAACCATATTCAACATCTACGATGACAGCAAAATCCGCAAGGTCATTCCCCTCCTGGCCACCTATCTCGACAATGAAATCCGCAACATCCGCCCAAACCCCAACGACCACATCATCCTTATGGGGGACTTCAACGCCCACCACCACCTCTGGGAAGAGGCTCGAAACGCTCACCTCTGCACCCCGCCAGAAGCACAAGAAGCCGCACAACGCATCATCGAGCTACTAGCAGACTGGGACATGAGAATGGCTCTACCCCGCGACAGACCCACCTTGCAATCAACCAGCAGTGGCAACTGGACAAGGCCCGACAATGTCTTTTGCACAGCCCACTCCCTCGACGCATTCACCCTTTGTGACACAGCACCCAGACGACGCCCTCCCTGTACTGACCATGTCCCCATATTATGTACCCTAGACCTCGAAATACCACGCACCTCGACCACAACCCTCCGCAACTACCGAGAAGTCGACTGGGAAGAATTCCGCGGACGACTCGACCTCCACCTTGACGCAATACTCCCCCCAAAGGCCATCACCTCCGAGCAACAATTCCAAAAAGCCGCAACCGATCTCAGCAACGCCCTCAAACAAACAATAGCCGACAAAGTACCTACCTCAAAGCCCAGCCCGCACTCAAAGAGATGGTGGACAAAGGACCTGACGAAGATGTTGAAAGAGAAGAACAAGCTAAGTGGCCTATCCTACAAGATGAGAGGATTACCGGATCACCCAGTACACGAGGAACACCGCAAGCACCGCAACAAACTCACCGAGACCATCAAGAAAACCAAGGAAGAACACTGGATAGACTTCCTGGAAGAGTTAGACCAGCAAAGTATCTACACCGCTAACAAGTACATCTCATCGCCCTCAGGAGATGGCGGCAGAACAAGCGTCCCAGTCCTCAAGATCAAAAACACTAACGGTCTGCCCACAGAAGCTGTCACTAACAAAGACAAGAGCAAGGCGCTTGCCGATACATTCTTCCCTCCTCCTCCACTGTCAAGTGCAATCCCAGAAGACTACGACTACCCGACCCCAGCCATGCCCTTCAAACCCTTTACCGAAGACGAGATCAACCGCACGATAAGCAACACGAGCTCATACAAAGCCCCAGGACCCGATGGGATATGCAACATTGTCTTCAAACACGCCGCTTCAACACTCGTCCCCTACCTACTCCATCTCTTCAACGCTGTATTCACCCTCAGAACGTACTTCGACCCCTGGAGGGAGTTCACCACAGTAGTGCTTCGCAAACCAGGAAAAGCCGACTACTCTACCCCAAAAGCATATCGCCCCATCGCGCTCATCAACACTACCTGCAAACTACTAACTGCCCTAGTCGCGGAACAAGTCACTCTTATCATAGAACACTTCAACCTCCTACCCAGCACACACTTTGGAGGCCGCCCCGGACGCACAACTACTGACTCCCTCCACTTATTAGAGACAACCATCAAGAACGCGTGGCGTAAAGGTCAAGTAGCCTCTGTTTTATTTCTAGATATTGAAGGAGCATTTCCTAACGCAGTCACTAACCGCCTAGCCCACAACATGCGCAAACGAAAACTCCCCTTGGAAATTGTTGAATTTACTGAAAGAATGCTCACAGGACGACGCACGCAACTTAGATTCAACGACTCCACCTCAGACTGGATAGATATTCGCAATGGCATTGGCCAAGGGGACCCCCTCTCAATGATAGCTTATCTAATTTATAACGCTGACCTTATAGACATCGCCAACCCGAAAAACGGAGAATACGCCCTAGCTTTCGTCGACGACACCGCCTACATCACCATTGGACCAACATTTGAAGACACACACGAAACCCTCAAAGATATGATGGAAAGGCCCAACGGCGCAATCCAATGGTCAGGAGACCACAACTCCAAATTTGAAGTCAACAAGTTCGCCCTTATAGACTTCACCCGCAGCAAGAATAGAACCAGACCCCCTCTCGTCATTCAGAACACCACCATCAACCCCACTGAGCACCATCGCTTCCTCGGCCTTCTAGTGGATCAGGAGCTAACGTGGAAATTTCATATAGGCTACGCCATCGCGAAAGGTACAGAATATGTACTCCAACTACGCCGTCTCTCGAAACCCTCCAACGGGGTGTCAGCAAAGCTCATGCGACAACTATATGTAACGGTCGCCATTCCGAAGTTCACGTACGGAGCAGACGTATGGTTCAAGCCCATATACTCAGAAGGAATCAACAAGGAACAACGAGGGTCGAAAGGAGTAGCAGAGAGGCTAGCTAAGGTCCAGAGAATCGCCACGCTAAGCATCACCGGCGCTATGAGATCCACAGCTACTGACACCCTCGACGCGCACGCTAACCTCCTCCCCACAGATCTCCTCCTCCAACGCACTTGCCATAGAGCAGCGCTTCGTCTAGCATCCCTCCTGCTTCGTCACCCCCTACACAAACACCTTACTCACATCGCCAAACACCCCAACATCAAACATCATCGATCCTCCCTTCACAACCTCCTCGACACGTTCAAAATATTCCCGAAGGATGTCGAGACCCTGGACCCGATCCGCAGATCAAACGCAACAATCCCAAATGCCTACCAGACCCATACCGCCCCCAACAAGAAGCAGGCCATCAAGGAACAGAGGGAACTAGTAGATACCATCCAGATCTTCATGGACGGATCAGGACACGACGGGAAAGTAGGAGCAGCAGCGGTACTCATCAGAGAAGGACAGGAACCTCGTACCCTCAAATTCCACCTCGGTCCGGACAAGAAACATACAGTGTATGAAGCGGAAGTAGTCAGCCTAACGCTTGTGGTCAAATTGTTAGCAACGGAGCGAAACGTCCAATACCCAGCAACCATACTCATAGACAACCAAGCAGCCATTCTATCCGGTGAGAGTCACAATACGAAACCTGGCGGTTACTTAGTAGAGCACTTTCGCAGCATGACAAGACACCTAGCCAAGAACAGACGAGATCAAGAGCGCAACTTCAAGCTAACAGTAAGATGGATACCCGGACACGAAGGAGTAGTAGGAAATGAATTAGCAGATGTCGCTGCCAAGGAAGCGGCAGAAGGGCCTAACCAGAACAGCGCGCCAGAGACGCTACCCAAGTACCTTAGAGGCAAGCCACTCCCCGACAGTATATCAGCCTTGAAGCAGTGGCACGAAGACGCACTGAAGAAGAGATGGGAAAAGAAATGGAAGAAATCACCACGCTACGCAAGGGCAACCGGCATAGATCCCTCAATGCCATCCAATCGCTACATCAAGCTAGTAGCGACCCTCCCCAGACAACAAACCAGCATGTATACCCAACTCCACACCCGTCATCTCCCACTAAATTAGCACCTCCACCGCATAGGAAAGAGCAACACTCCCCACTGTCCCACATGCCCAGATACTGACGAAACTATCCATCACTTCCTATTCGACTGCCCGCAATATACCCGGGAACGCCATCAACTCACTAACGCGCTGCGAAGACAAGCGTCATCCATCCAATATATCCTCACTGCCGAGAAAGCCACCCAACCACTGATGCGTTACATCAACCAAACGAGAAGATTCAAACCCATACTCGGTGAGCTCACGAACAGTTAAAGAACACTCTTTCAACCCACTACCCTACAGACACAATTAATCAACTAAATCTCCCCTCTGCGCAACATACATCAAGAACTAATACAAAACTACCATACACCACCCAACTCCGACACAGGAGAGAAGAAGTCTCGCTGCGCGAGACACCATTCGACACTAATCATCTCCGAGACAGAAGGGAAGAAGCCCCGCTGCGCGAGACACTACCGTAGGAGTGCAGACACTATATACGCTCCACACCACATCACTCCCTCTGTACGAACTCAGCGTCGGCCTTCGCCCGACAATATGCTGACGGAGTACTTGTTTTCCATTGAGACCACGGCAGTACACACATATATATACGCTAGAATAGGCGGGAGCAAGCCCCCCGCGAACAGGGCTAAGTCCAACATAGGGTCAACGACCCCAAGAGGACAATAAACTTGATTTAAAAAAAAAAAAATCTGAAAGGCGGCAGGCTGCAGACAGCGGCGCCGGAGCTGGCTGGAGTGTAGCCTGGTAGGCGGATGAAGAGAAGCCACAACGTGCTGCACAGCCGCTACACGAAGTCCTAACCCTACACTCGGGGTAGAATTCCAATTCACCGTGCGCACTGGACACAATGCCTGGAATCAAGTGAATCACAGATCGATCGGTTACACCAACACCATTAAACCACAAGATTGGTATTACATGTATCCTGTACAGAGTAAAGCAAGGGTATGCATAGTCAACGAAGACCACTAACATATGTCACAAGGACCGTCAAACATCGTACTAGCACTTATTATCCAATGGGTCTGAATCACAATCCAAGTCCTGGTCACCTAGCGATTTCGAATCATCAATTTCATCTTCATCTATAGAATTATTTGTTTCATCATCCGAAAAATACTGGCCTTCAAATGCCATACGCAACGCCGTGCTCGGGCTGAACAACGTAAACTTCGATTTCCCTAGGTGGACCTTGACCACCGAAAACATATATCCTTTCGGTGGCGAGTCGCTTCGTGCGCGAATCTCATCAGCAATCTCTGGCCATATAGGATCCTCCCCAGGAAACTGCTCAAGCATGTGCACGGGGAGCACGTACATCTTTGGCGAATACACAGTCAGATCCACCATGAGCACGAGTTTATCGCTGAATGCAGGGAACTTCTGCTGTGCTTCACGAACGCGCGTTTCCACGTCTTTGGCCATTCCAGAGATCTGAGTAATTTCGAAGCCTGCAATGACTTGGAGACTGTTACGGATATCGGAGGAGCCCCACGGGCCTGTTTGCGATTCGATTGAGAAGCATGAGACAAGGACTGAAGGGACTCGCCAACGGTGCACCTCAGAACTTGACACCACTTCCTGTGTCCATTGCGCCAAGCAGTCCTTTGGCATTTCTCCGAGCAATAGATTGATACCAAGCAGCCTGAGCACCGACGCTTTTTGCTGATAAACTTGGATGTGCGCATCGGACACTGACACATATATAAGCATCCACATGATGGAACTAGAGATGATCAGCGTACTCCTGGACCGCTGCACCTGTATTCAAAGAAGTTCATAGGTTCTACGCTGCGATAGTCCATAGCATTGATAGTAGATGTCAGGACGATTTCGAGAGCAGCCCCCAACCCTTCGTCAGCGTATCTCTCGTTTTTCCGTAGGAGCATTGTGCATGCGAAACCAGTGTCGGAAATATTGATGCAACGACCCTGTGGTATATAAAAAATGTGGCGAGAAGGAAGAGTAACTCTATGTCACCCATGCGGCCACGGACGGGGCGATCACGACGGTAGGCGTGAAATGGGCAAATAACACCCTTCTCCAACGTTTGAATCAGGCCAGCATCGATTGCCTGGCATACACATGTTACTCCGTCATCTGCATCGCGAATAGCGGATGCAATGTACGAGTACCCCGACCACAGAACTTTCTGTCTACCCGCGAGTCCCAGCTGTGGATGAAGATCCAATTCCTCATTTGCTTGCACCAAGATCCTCGGCAAGATCTGAGTGATTGCATCCACTACTGTGCGAATCGAACCTTGGCGGATAAGCTGTTCGCGGCATGAAGGGATCTTGGCTACTGATAGTCTGGAGAAACTGGAATGAATAATTGAGACCAACAGTGTAGAGATGAAGTTGCTTGACGCTCGGATCGGAAACCATCCACAATCGAGGTTCTTCTACAGCAGCAGCATCTCTGGTAATCCGACGGATGTATCTGAGAAGGGTGAAGACAACGGGCTTCACCCCTCCGGCAGCATGTATAAAGTTCGATAAAGGAAGGGTGATTTTGTCTGGATGTTCAGATTCAGATACGCACACATAGTTTGTTAGCGCAAAAGACGCTCGGAGCTTAGAAACGAGGGCATCTGTGGTAGTTCCAGGGTCGCCTTGGAGTACCTCTCCTTTAAGGTTCCCTACTAATATCCATAACTGCGCGACGAAGTGCTGAACAGAAACAGAAGAACGGAGCAAGTGACGCCCTTCTTCCGATTTGGTGCAGATCAATGAGAGCGGACTAATGGTCAATTTTACAGCATCGGACACACTGCAAAGATCGGGGCGTGGAGGAGTAACTGAGACATCATAAGGAGGAGGGAGGCAATTTTGAGCGAAGAACCACATCCACGGGTACGTTTCGTCCCACTTCCTCACAATATACTTTGTCACGGCGTCGTCCCTGCCATCAGAAGGTGAAGAGGTGGCAAGCGTGCTGACCGTCACCAATCCCAAGAGAGCCCACTTCGCGCGTATGATGGCAGGAATAGTCTTGGGATTGATGTATTTTGGTACTTGAACTGAATTGAGCGTCGCGTGAAAGATGGGCACCAAGCAACAAAAACGGGAAGGGGAAGATCTGGTGATCGAAAGAGTCATAAACTCAACCAGCCTTGCGAGATCTGTGATAGATCCCTGTAGAGCTTTTTTCGCAGTGATCTTGAGTGCATGTTAGTGATAAAATGAATTTTGTATGATAAGAGATCCAACTTGTGTTGCCGCTGGCAGAGACTTCAGTGCTTTTGTTTCATCTGTAGTGAGCTGCAAGCTTGATCCCACTGTAGCAAATGGCATGAGGGGCGGTAGCAGTACTATATAGCGTGATCACTGATAGGCTTCAGCAGGCTGCAGGGGACAGCCTCGGGTGGAATTAATATTGGTCAATGTTTGGTGAATCGGGCTTTGCCGGGACCGTTATCAGGTCGCAGCCTGCTAATTTGCAGAGCGCATCCGCGTCGATTCCGCGAGGTCAGCGTAAATTAGATCACATTGGCACGCGGGGCGAGCGCTGCTAGCGCTGAGCACCGGTGAGCACTAGCTGTCACTCGTAGCCAAACCTTATATAAATAAAAGAATACAGTCGCTCCTTCTTTTTCAAGGGTAGGTACTATGGTTTTTTCTACTCCAATTTTTTAACGTTGAAGGTGATACCCCTACTTATGTAGGACAATACTTTTTGATCTACTTGACCCCGGATTTCCTTATGTACCGAAATCGCGAATGCCCTGATATAAGGCGTACCCCGATCAGTCCGCCGTTCCCGCCGGACGCTATGGTTATCAGGTGTCTCTGCGCTTAGTATTGAAGAATTTCTATTACGGAAAGGCTCCACCGTGACCGGAGAACAATGCTGTTGAATGTATTCTAGTGAGTCTTCAAAAAGTTTTATGCCGCTCTTAGCGCTTTAATTTTATCGAGTGTTCTCCCAAAAGCTATCATATAATTTATATTCGGCCACTCCTTAGAGAGCTGTGCATGGAAGAATGGTATTTTTCTGTGCACGTTTATGTTAAAGTCGTATGACTGCTGGATTCCCCCCCCCCCCCCCCCCCCGTGTGTCTCAAGGACCCGCAATTATGGTATCTTTACCACATACTGCATGCATCATGTAGACCTAATGTCAAGAACCGGGACCATCAAGCTTCAGATGGCATCGCAACGGCCACCTGCCACTGATTTCACTTACACTATTTCGGCAGTTACATTCCCCTTGACTCGGAGCGGGCGGTTTTTTAACCTCTGATAGCACTGCGGCCCAGCCATCCTTGAAAAGATTACGCTCTCGTCGGAGATAGAGACACAGTTGTCTGCATACTAACCTGTGTTTCAAGTCTCCAACCTTACCGCTTCGAAAGGATCACATCCGCTCGATTCATTGGCAACCTATCTGATAACTTCTGATACAGTCATTCTCTCCGAAGAGATTACATCAGGCGCGAAGTCTCCGGTCATGATTGCAATGTAACTTTCACAAGGTCGGCGTTATAATTAATTATCGCACCACAGTCATTGGATGTTACTATGTGGGTGCCGGTCCTGTATAGTATACAAGACTCTCGTTCGTCAACAAACCGACATACGTCAAAGAGTATAAGTACAAGGTACATGCAACCCAAATATTGGAGCCATTCTCTCGCCAGGCTTCAATCTTTCTGCAAGTTTTCACAATGACGATGAACAACCTGTCCACATCCACCCTCGATGGCGAAGTACGTGCTTGTGTTTTGATACCCTTCCATGTTCCGATGTTGATGTCGAATGTAGGTTCTAGCAAACATCCGCCAGTCCATCGCCGAATTTCTTCAGCGTTGCGGGTTGCAATATAAGAATGTCTCACTTGACGAGGCGTGGTACTCCGAATGCTCTCAGGAGGCCATCAAACGAGGCTATCCGATGGACGCCATACTCCCATACATGCCTGTTGGCGTGGCCATGGTATCCAACGCTTATGACCATCTCCCGGGCCGTGCAACAAAGATGTGGATGTGTTTCTTCACCATCATATGCGCCTGCATGGACGACATAATGATCAGCGGAGAAAATATAGTGCACCTGTACCGTTTCAACGAGCTGTTCGCGAACTGCCAGCCGCAGGGGCATCCGGTTTTGAATGCGTTTGACGGGCTCTTGCGGGAGGTCGCTTGCCACTATTCTGCACCGGCGTCCAATTTGATCGTCACGTCCGCGCTCGACTTCGTGTCTTCCATGTTACTTGACAATGAAACCAAAGATATGCCAGTATGGTATTTCTTTAATAAAGAGCTTCAATCTTTAACCCTTTGTGTGAACAGATCTCGCCGCAGGCTCCCTCATACCCTGAGTATGCTAGGATGCTATCAGGCGTGGACTATGCGTACGCATACTGCGTTTTCCCTTCCACACTCCCGTTTCAGGAATACGTTCAATGCATAATGGATGTAGCCATGGTGATAAACTACACAAAGTAATTACTTGCATCGATGATTTTCTGTCAACCTTTCTAACCTGCCATGATTCAGTGATATATTGTCATACTACAAAGAGGAGATCTAAGGCGATACCGCAAACTACCTGTCGCTCATGGCAGCCTCTCGTGGTCTTAACAAACAGGACGCTCTCCGGAAACTCATCGAGAAAACTGTACAACTACATCACGGTATTCTCGAATTTCTGAGACCGCGTCCTGAGGCATATGACGCCTATGTCGCATTTTTCAATGGGTATTTCAAATTCCACGCTACCTTTGGAAGGTATAAGCTGGAGGAGATCATGTAGAAGAGGTCGTCTTCTTGATGGATACCTTTCTTATGGTATTTCTTAACTTTTCCTCTATGTTGATTACATCTTAAAGTAGAGTGATAGCTATCACGTTTGTACCCTGTCTCTATGTCTATCAGGCGCCATTTGATTGCCTGTCCCTTTGGCTTTTCTTACTCCTTCCAGTTCAATCAAGCTGTTTTATGAGAACTTTTTTCAATGTACTTACCTCTAGATTAATGTATGTAAGGTTTGGTTGATAAATATGATTTTACCCGCTCGCATGTGAAGATCACGCTGGGACAACCACTTGACCCACAACGGAAGCTTGGTCTTTCGCAAGCGTGCAACTCCTCGATGAAAGTCATCAAACGCAGTGGGGTCTAAAGGGTCAATCTAGCGACCTGGCCAACGAAAGTGTAGTTCGTGTTGCTGATATTCTTCGAGGAGCTAACGAAGACCTATGCGGAGATGAAAGGCAGTGTGGCGTCCACTGCGTGCAGAAAGATCAAGTCCATCTCTTCCAAACCGCATCTTTACTCGGACGAAGTGATGCAAGTTTTTTGCAATGACTGTTCGGATGTAGCGCTCGCCCTAATCCACGCCTTTGCATTGCACAGTGGCCTGGAGGAGACGATTGAGGTATTCTTGCAAGAAATCAACACCCATGAAGCTACCATGTTGCCCAGTGAGGTTGACGAATAGGCTGTGGTTCTGATAGTACCTCAATGAATGGTCGCTGAACCTATTAAGCTTGATGTTTCAGCAGCCTTCTGACATTAACTTCGAGGTGTGCCGTGACAGGCAAGGACTATTTTGGCAAGGCTATGACCCATATTTGTGTGAAAATTGATAAAGAATCTGTGGATGAGCCTTTTTGGAATGATGAATTTTAGCCAACCCTAAGTCGTTTCATTCACGACACGTTCATGGCTTGCCGTGCCGCCTACGACCAGCTTAATGATAAGGAAACATTGGCATTGAAAGAAGATGTGATACGACTGCCAGTGCACGCATCGCTCTAAGGACAATATCCACGGACTGCCCCATCGACTTTCACGTTCGGATGACGAGATGTGCTTTGGGATGATAATCTGTCCTGGTCCCACAGTGATTCGGACGGGTGTTAGCCCATCTGTGAAGATTTTGACTGGATCGTTGATTACCTGTCGGATGAAGTAGAGCACGACAAAGCGGACAAAACAATGATGCTTTGCTTGCGCTGAGCGCGATGCGTGGACTAGGAAACTCTGCCAAGCGACATGGGCTCTACCAGACCTTCAGAAGCCTTTGTGAGGAATGGTATAGCTCATGCTGCATGCAGTTGACGTTGCAATATCTTCAGCGCAGGAATTGTGCAACAATATGTCTCCTAAAATCGAGAACCATAATTTCTTGCAAAGGTTCCATATCGATGGAGCTGATGCAGAACATATGTGCGTCTGCAGCCAAATATTTGAACGTGTTTGTCACTAGTACACACGTCCCAATTTATTCCTTTTCGGTCAATGCGAGGATCACGTTGATTAGATAAAGCACTGTACAATTCTACAAGAGGTGCACAACAAGGGTTGCAACTAATAAGCGGAAATACACTATGTACGACTCGGAAGACCCTCGCAATTTCATACTATACACGCCCGCAATTAAGTGTGAATCGTACGACCTCGAGGATGGGATATATGTATGCAGAAACCTAACCAGGTGTCTGGTACGTGTAAAGTATTATCATAACGATGCGGAACAACTCAGATGTGATCCCCTTCCCCACTACTCGCGAATATACTCTATCGCCCACGGTCCAAGCTCATCCTCAGCGATAGGAATAGTCACCCCACAAGCCGCAAAATGACGCGCAACAGACAACCTGTCGATATCATCCGCCACGCCCACAAACGGCGCATAACAGACGTGGGGAGAGACGCTGAATGCAGCTCTCCGCAGGATGCTGGAATATTCGCCGCGCTCGGCGAAGAGCTCTGTGACAACTGTCATGTATTTTTGACGGGCTTCGCGGGATTCGGGATCGCTCGGGTTGACTATGGGGCGGAGCCGAGCTACGGTTCGGCTGGCTTTCATGTCGGAGAGGACGGGACGACCGTCCGGTTCGCGGCGAATGCCCTTTGGGCAGGAACTGGGGTTGGCGGTGTAGTACGATACCCAACACTCGACAGGGTCCTCGAGACGAGGGTTGTTTAAGGGGGCAGGTAACTTTGGGAGTGACGAGGGGTGCTCCCAATCAGGAGTCCGCCAGTTGGATAACAAGTAGCGTTGGACTTCGGTCTTTTGGTCTCTGGGTGTTTTGTGCGCTTCTGAGCAGAGGGCTTTAACTTTTGTAAGGGCACTGTAGTTGCCGGGCTGGTGTGCGGCTTTAATGAGGGATTGGACTTGTTTGATGCTCTTGGCAGGCTTTGTGGGTTTATGAGTGGGTGAGGCTACAACCGTCCAACTGAGGGTTGGAGGGGCGTCGTCTGATAATGTAGCTTGAAAAGCTGAGTCGTCATCTGGCTGACCTGTTGCCAACACGGCAGCAAATGAGCGAGCTGCAACGCAGTCGGGCAACTGCGCTTGAGGGGAAGCAGGGGTTGTCATGGGGGGAGACAACTGTTGAGGATACATGGGAGTTAAAAAGTCGAGGGAGAGCTGGTGATCGATGGGAGGTTCGATAGGGCGAAGATCAGATGGTGGATCTGCAGGGGGGTCTAGCTGAAGAGACTTTACAGAAGAATGAAAGGAGACGGATTCGATAGGACTAGAGATATCGACTGCAAGGGCAGTTTGTTGTCTGAGCTTGTCCTGTAGTTGCTCTGATTCTGTACGTGTTGCGTCTAGCTGAGAACGAAGAGTAGATAGCTCTTCACGAGCTTGGTTACGCTCAAGGCGATAACGATCAATGTCATCGACGAGGACTCTATTTTCCTCTTTTTGACGGCGAATGCCCTCTGATATGCCCTTGTTAAAGAGGTCTTCGCGCGTGCGCTTCCTGTCTTGGAAGGCGATTTGAAAAGCTGGCTGATGCGAGGAATAACTTGCATCAGCGACATGCTTCATGTATGAAGAGCAAATGTCGCATCCTGAAGGGTGAACAATTCCATAGTCGTCAAGGTACTCCCAAGGGGAGAGAAGAGTGGGAACACCGCGATTGTCTCTAAGAGAAACGCGGTATGGCTCGTCATGAGATGACAAGGAAAACATGATTGGTGTGTTTGATAATGAAATGCGCACCAGGCGATGAAGAAGGGTATCTGAGATGTGGGGAGATTCATTGTGGCGCCAGGCCAGGTTGATATGCTGTCCAACACGTGTCTTGCCTCGCGTTCACTGCCAGGCGGGTTATTTACTAATGTTAGATTTAGATGCTGTAGAGAAACAAAAGTCAACAAACGATTCGAACTGGCTTGCTCATAATCCTAAATGCTCGTCAGTAGCCGTAGTAGTTAGTGGTGGTTGGTTGGTTGGTGTAGCTAATAGTCAGTAGTTAATGATTAACTTAGGCACATCATGTGTTAGTGTTAACGTAAGCAATTAGCACGTGGGTAGGCGATGATCAGGTCAAGGACCACAGCGAACTCAAGCATCTACTGCGATCACTGCGGACCGTGGTCGACAAGAAAAGCATTGACATACCACTGACATACCATTATATTCATCTCTATATCATCTAAATTCGCTTGCTATACCACCGTGACATCCAAGATGTCATTCATAGATACACTTCAAAATGCCCTTGACCGCATGTTACCAAGGAGGTCAAAGACTAACACAGTACCAGCAGCAGTTGGGATAGGAAATGGGCTTGGTATGGTCAACTACGAGGACGACGTGAGTCTCTTATTATTATTTTGTACCCAGTAGCTGCCAGAAAACGCCAGCCAACTTTGTCCTTGTACCCGCTCTATGCGCTTCGACTCGAACCATTTACGTAATACACCCAACTTCCCTCTATGCCTCTTCATGGATCAGTCTGGAACACTGGTCTTCCTCCTTTTCTTGCCCCTTTTATGGATCGTTTGGCTCGCGGTCATTGATATTTACTTACAACACTCTATCAATCATGCTGACACCTTTTCCGCCTTTTAGATGATTATAAGCAAGCCTGCCATCATATTTCACATTTCTCAGACATTCTTCAACTTTCTCGCAATGGCTTGCTTTGCAAGCGTAGCCAGTTTTCAAGCAAAGTGGGGAATAGGGCCTTGTAAGTTCATCGCTGCCACAGTTCCAAACCATACTGACTCTCCACAGCTGGTCTCTCAGGATTCGCGATCTTCGTGAGCGTCACAGGAATATTCCTATCCCTATTTCTCCTCTTCGTACCTGTCGTATACGAGAAATACGACAAACTCATTCGCCTAGCCCGTACCCTCAAAGAAGTACGCGTCGGCTTCATCCTCGTTGGCAGCGGCTGCATTTTCAGCCTCCTCATCGCGTGCGTATTCATCTTACCACCCCTAATCCTAGTCCTCACTTCAGGCTGTACAGATTCATCACCACAATCTCAGCGTGGACAGAGCCTGGTTGCAAAAACGCGGATAACGATCCTCATGCGAGCCTTGGCGACGCGTTTACGAGCGCCCTCCCTGGCTGGTGCAGCACGAAGAAAGCAGGTGCTATATTCTTTTGGTTAGCGTTTGGTACGTTTCTGTGTCACGTTCTATTCTATTCATTTATCTCACGCTGTCACTCCAGGCTTCTGGCTCGCATCCTTTGTCTTGCTTATCATTGACTGGCGCGCCGGAAACCTCACATCCCCACCCCGCGATCTCCCATTCACGCGTCCCCACTCTGACATCGAAGAAGGCGAAGAAGCAGAAGTAGAAGAAGAAGAAGAAGGCGGACACTCATACCAACCCGTCGCCACCAACACAGCGCCCACATACCCCCGCCAATCAACATACGACAACTCTAACGCCTCCGCGTCTCCATTCGCAGACTCCAACCGCCTCTCAGCCGCTCCCACCAATACCAATACAACCTACCTACCCTCAATCAACACAAATCGTTTCTCAACAGCAGACTCAAGCGCTAATCGCACATCTGCATATTCAACCGCACCCACTACTACCACCGCTCCTACTACAAGCACCAACATGGGTTACGCTACTTCTAGACCTAGTATGGACGCGTATGGCGCGTTTTCAGACCCTGCACCGAGTGGGTTCGGGGGCGTGTCGGCGTCATATGCGCCCACTGCATCAGATTCTGGGTCTGGGGCGCCGAAAGTGAGTAGGACGATGCAATATGCGGATCCGTATGCTGCTGTGCGGGCATCGCTGGCGACGAGCACAGCTACGGGTGCGCCGGCTCCGACGAAATCTAGCTACGAACCGTATACTGGGTACCGATAGTGTACCCTTTATCATGATGGTGGACCGGACTGGCGATATTTATGTAGATGGTTGATGTTTACGCGCGGATATATACCCGCAACATGCTCTTCTCGTTAGCGCTTATAATAGGCTTGATGTCGTAGGATTGTGTATTATCCATGGACCATTTGCACTGCATGTCTTTTACATAAACTTGTACTGAAACTTGGAGGGATATCGATAATCAATCATCTTTTGGTGGGAGTGATGCGTTCCGAGTTAGACTACCATTCATAATATGTGTGCATAGAGCACGTATAGAACTAGTGATTATGCTACAGCATATACTACGATACCGATTATATGTCTATGGTGAGTCGTATATCTCCAACGGTCAGTCTAAAACGGAGAGAATGAGATCATGCATCTGCCAGAAATGCGCTCTCACTAGCCCCATCCGCCTTTCCGGTCAATCACGTCTGCTCACCTTCCTCAACAACAACTGCAAAAGCCCTCTCGTTCTCTTCCATACGCCTCCTCACAAGTGCCTGATATGTCTCCCCTTCCAAGTTCGTGTCTTCGGGTGACGACCCTGAACTTGAATCAGATGGGTATCGTCCGTAGACGGGTTTGCGCCCGTATGCAAGTTCAGCGACGGTGATCTGTATATGGGATTAGTGTCGGATGTGACTGGTCGGGAGAAAAGAGGATGCGGCAAGAGGGAAAGAGAAAGACGTACTAAAATATCAGCTGTAAGCCCCTTGATAGGAGATGCACATGTTCTGAACCGGTGCATCCTATATATGAGTCCGTCGAATGCGTCGAGGCGGACGTCGGACGGGTTCTGCGAGGCAAGAGGTATTAGCATGGAAGTGACATGACAACAGCAAGGTTTTCATTATAGAAATGCGACTCGAATCGAAAAAAGCACATGGTAAAAAGCCGATAACTCACATACACATCTCCAGCACTATATGGCCAGTCCTCTCCCACATCCACGAGCGACTCCCCTTTGTTCAACAAGAGACAAGGGTCCAGCATTGCTTCGAGTGGATGATCGAATATCCTGTCGACTTCTGTGAGAGAGGGAGTGAGGGAAGTGAGGATTGGGTGAGAAGAAGACTTGGGTAGTGTGTTGGAGTTTGCATTCGAGGAGCTGTCCAAGCCCGAGAATGACGGTGACGAAGTGACGAGTGGAGGCGGCGAAGATAAAAGCACGACAACTGGCGTTACCAACAACTGCGATGCAGAGAGAAAGGGCGGGAGTGTCGTTATAAAATGTATATTTGACGATGTGGGCGGAAGAGGAAGACCGACTTCTTCAT